ATTCCCTCGAAACAGATGTATTTCAGCTATGTCACACACGGACTTCAAACAGTTGCACAACACTCTATGTCACCCTGGTATCACACGCTTGTTGCACTCTATTCGTTCTTAGAACTTAAAAAAGTTGTAAATGAATGTGAAGCATGTGCACCACTTAAGCCCCACTTTTTCAAAGGCACGTCTACCAGCTTAATAAAAGCGACCAGATCGTTTGAAAGAATCAGATTTGATTTTAAAGGCCTACTTCCCTTCATCTCTCGCAATAAGTATCTTTTGACCATGAGGGACGGATACTCTCGTTTTGCTTGCGCTTATATGTCATCTTGAACTGTTACCAACTGTTTCAGTCAATTATTTTCCTTATTTGGAGTGCCGTCTTATGTTCATTCTGATCGTGGCACTGTCTTCATGTCGGATGAACTGCAATTTTCTCCACAATAAGGGAGTGGCAACCAGTTGGACAATTTCATACAATCCACGGGGTAATGGACAAATCGAAGGAGTAAATGGAACGTTGTGGAGGGCCATGAATCTGGCAGTGAAATCTCAACAAATGGACATAAACCACTGGGAATATGTTCTATTGGACGCCTGAATAAGCAGAGTTGAATGCTACCAGGCGCGTCCCCGGGTTATGGATAGGGGATAAATCCACCGCAGAAGGTTAGCTGTGAATAAGTCCTGGCATGCTGCAACAAACAAGCAGTCCCGAACAAACAGCGGCAGCACTACCAGGGTGTGTTGGGTTTCAGGTTGGTCACCTGGCTCCTGTTTAAAAGCCCCATAAGCCCAATGACGGTGTCGTGACAAAGGTCGATGTGACTGGCCTTTTAAAACTAAAGTCATTGACGCCGGCACTTCCGAGGTGAGGGATTACTTCCTGCTACCTTGCAGTTCGCACTTGAGGTGCACCCTCAAAATAAAAAACCGCCGAGTGATACTGGGGGCGTTTCTCGTACCAAACGAACTACATGATTATGATCATAATTATGTCTGGAGCCGGCTTATCCTTTCCAAAGAGCCAGCCGCACTAAATACATAAACACACACTTAGTTTGTAAATGGAGCCCTCAGGTATACAGAACGCCGAATTGTAGACCGTAGTGTTTCTGAATTCGCTACTTTTATTTTTTTGATCTATTAATTTTCGGTGTTTGTTTGTTTTATCATTTAGTGTTAAGTGATTTCTTATTATGCAAATAATGTAAGGCGATTTCCAATAGTCTTAATTTAAATAAATGCCGAGGCGCCGCGTGTATGAACTTAACCAAGACACCAGGCGTATTTTGATATGAAACATCCACGGAATTTAAAATACTGGACGCACTGATAACGACAAAGCGTGTTTTTTACTCATGGAATAGTTCACTTTTTGCCCATTTGCTAAAACAGACAACTTAACTAACTGATGTGATTTATTTGTTTATTTATCCTTCACATAAGCCCAAGTTCAGGTGTTCAGGAGTTTCGTCCAATCATGCCTCGAGGGAAAACCAAAGGATGAAAAGAAAACTGAACTCTTACTATCATACATACTTGGGGTGTCGAAACCTCACCAAACTCGATTGGCAGATCATCGCTTATCTGACCCAGCCGTTCGTGCCCGTTTTGAATCGGAACTAGGGCAAGAGCTAAACGCGCTGCATGGTGGTAGTGTAAATGAACAATGGGAATAGATTAGCCGAGCAATGCACTCCGCAGCGAACGTGGCTTGTGGATCTGAAGCAGTAGCCCGCCCGAGGCATTGGATATCTGATGAGTCAGTAGCACTGATGGAGAAAAAGCGGTAAATCCCAACCACCTGGGATCAAGGAAGGGCTAGGTGGCGTCTACGTCAACTCACGAGGAGCCTCAAGAAAGACCGTGAGAACTGGTGGGAAACGATAGCTAGTGAAATGGAAAAAGTAGCTGCATCAGAGAATCGTCAAAGACTGTCCCCGCTGATACGCAATACGGGAGGTCGACGAACCACAGTTAGTGAAACAATCTGCGACAAAAGTAGGTAAGCTGTTCACAATAGGGAACAACGGCTTGACAGGTGAGCGGAACAGTTCAGCTGGCCAGGCGAAAACTAGACTATCTCCTCTGTTGTAACTGTGGCGCCGCACGCAGTGTCGTCTGAACCTCATACTGCAGCAGTAATACGATCCTGCACTCAAATCCTGATGAAAGAAAAGCAGCAGGACCAGACGGGCCTCCTCTCACTCATTTCAAGATGGGAGGGGGGGAGCGATGACCTCGTAGACTCCATTACTGACATAATGCGTAACATCTGGTCACACGAGCGCATTCCATCATCCTGGAGCGTACCATTGATTTCGCAACGACTGCGCAAACCACCGTGGAA